AAACTTTTTATGCAGGGCTAGATAGTGGAGTTGTGGACAGGCCCAATAAATCAAGGCAAGGCTTACTCATTTGTTTAACTGCTATAGTCCAATGAGACTCTTTTCTTAGCTGATTCTCATGATAAAACATAGCATTCTGCATATTTACATTTGCATATTGTTTAGCTATGAAAAAGAGAAGCAAGGGCCCTGAGATAAGAAAACTCAGTTTGAAATGTAGTCTCTTAATGCAGATAGCTGGTGAATAAGCAGCGACGTCTTTCAGCAGAAATAATGACAAAGAATACAAATGATAGCAAAAGTCAAAGGAAAGCAATAACTGGGAGGGTGGGAGATGCAGAACATTTGGCCAGATGGATGAATTTTCACCTCCCATCTGCCACCGAGACCCGCTGGGTCACAAGGAATTATGGGAATTGTGATCCAAAACATCTGGAATGCACTAGAGTGCCTACACTTGGACTAAAGGATAAATATTAGCCTGATTCAAAATTGTCCGGAGAGGAAACGTAGCTCAGTGGTAGCTTTTTTGGTTTTGCAGGTGCCTGACCTTGGAGTGTTGCTGTCAGACTCTGTAAATAAACAAGCTGGCTTAAATCAGCTTCCAATTAATTTTAGTCCTTGAAATATAGGGTGTCATGATGCCACATGCATTCACCAGTGCCTTAGCAGGCCTCAAAAGGTGTTAGGCAGCTACTCCTCCTAGCGTCTTTAACTGTTTTTTTTTCCTTCTTATTTTCTCTTTGTTGGTTTTGGGGTTGTGGTAAGGAAAAGGATAGAAGAAGCAGTGGGGAAACCTGGAAGGGCTGGAAGTGGAGGACAATAGCTGGACTCTACTTCTATCAAATCCCAGGGAGGAGGCAGAGCAATTGCACAGCAGAAGCCCTGTCTAGTCCAGTGTTTCTCAGCCTTGTCACCTTGAAGATGTGTGGACTTCAACTCCCAGAATTCCCCAGCCAGCTTCAAGGTGACAAGGCTGAGAAACACTGGACTAGGTTGAACAAAAAATCCCTTTGTTGCCCAGATCAAAGAACAAGTCTGAAAGAGTGTTCAGACTTTGAGTGTTTGCACTAATGCTATTGACACTGAAGACTAAGTCTTCTGATACTGTTGGTTCTCTGCCCTTGGCTAGAGCCCGGGAAAGCAAACAGGCCTCCTAATTCCTTAAGTAATGGATAAGGAGCCTTTATCAACTTCAGAGTTGATAAAGTCCTCCCAGCTCACACCTCACCCTCACCAGGAGTGGTAATCAGCTCCTGTTTGCAATCTGAAGAAAAAGGGGGGTGGGTTTACAGTGTTTCGGGAATGGCCAGCCAGTGGAATGGATGGTGTCACGGTATAGCTCAAGCTGAGTTAGAACCATTGCGCCATCAACATGGAAGAAGAAGAAGAGAGCTTTAATAGGAGGAAGGAATATGCTTTCCCTTGTAAATTAGTCCATGTTCTTTCAGATTCTGCCCAGAGTTGTGATTTATAAATCCTGCCTTCCAGGCACCATGGAAGTCTGTCATCCAGAGCCAAATGCAACGGGGTGATTCAGAGAGATATCGCCCCTTGCCTGCAGAACTCTGCAAGTTGACGTACTACCTAGTCTACACAGCGGGAGCCTTTGGACGTTGGCAAAGGGCTTTGCTGATTAAATAACTTGGATCTCTTCCAGCTAGGACTCCACACTGAGAACAGGTGCTGGTGAGATGACAGAGATAGGCATCGCTCCAGGACTGATGGATGATTTTCAGTTCATGCAGCCTAAGCAACTTGATGGACAGGTTGCTTGGTGGAGTGAGGCCAAGCTCACACATTTTGGACCTGCGCCCATCTTGGCTCAAGAGCTGGCTGGCTACGAGGGGTGGAAACACTGAATCCTTACTTAAAAGAATGCTGTGTTGTAAAGAAGCTGATTTTAGGACTTTATTAAAGTTCCCTTCTGCCACCTTACATAATTTATCAGCTTCTTGTAACCTCTCTTTTCTGAGTACAATTGAAGAGTGGGTGTTGGCTTCGCGTTTCCAGGTTTTTCATGGATTAATCTAATGATTTGGACCCTCCACAAATTGAATTCAGATCTGGTTGGGTTCTCCTGCTGTGGCCACTTTGGTATATAATCAACATCAGCAGTTAATAATAATAATAATAATTTAATAATTTATTAAATGTATATGCCGCCTGACTCCCAGCAACTTGGCAGTTTACAAATTGTTAAAAACATTGAAAGTGAGAAAACAGCACAAAACCAAAAAGGAACAAAGGTGGCTGGGATTGAGGTCTGCGCCTGGGAAAAGCAGCTGCAGCCAGAAGAGCTGAAGAAGCTAGAAGTAGACATGAAGAGGTTGGAAAGGGGGAAAAAACAAGGCAGAGACTGTCCTTCTGGGAGGCTAATGAGTGATTTGAGGTCACCCTTCTGTGATACATCTACATGAATCCTCTGGGGAAGGTCATCTGGAGTTTTGGATTAGGACTCATTACTGGGTGGTTGATATGCAAGTCTACCTCTCTTTTTCATGCAAACAGAGAGCAGAACCTCTGACCCATACTCTGAACTGGTGTTTTTCAACCTCGGCAACTTTTTTAAAAAAATTTATTTTACAGCCAAAAGGCCTGAAAACCTTGGCGACTTGAAGAGGGGTGGACTTCAACTCCCAGAATTCCCCATGCTGGCTGGGAAATTCTGGGAGTTGAAGTCCACCCTTCTTCAAGTTGCCAAAGTTGAGAAATGCTGCTCTGGCTGCAGTAAGGAAATAACACTGACGTTGCTAAGAAGAGAGACACTTGACTGTTCAGTAAGCGAGCCAGTCTGGGCACAGAGGTTTTGCTTCTCGATGGGACTGCATTCCTTTTGAAGAAGCAAGTGCCCTTGAATGTTTGGAAAGCAAGGCAGTGGCAATGCCCATAGTGTAGCTTTTCCTGGATTTATTTGGTGTGTCGGCAGTATCCTTTCCTGAGGAAAACTGGATCTGGCTACTTTCTCACCTCTTGCGTAGGGCAGATCTGCCCTTTCTACTTGGCCCGTCCAGACCCCTCATCGCTTCCTGAGTGCAGGAACAGATGTAGTTCCCCTCTTCCTGCTCCCGTCCTGTTGCAAATGCACTCCAGCTT